AAGTTCAACAGACAATTAAATCAAACAAGACCTATAACACTAATAGAATATACTAAAAAAATATTTATTAAAATTCTAACAAAAAGGATTAGCAATGTCTGTACTTAATATCCAATACTAAATATTCACAATTATGTAATATTACCAAACACATTAACATCAATACCAATACATACATTTACTCATATATTAGAAGACGCATATAGCAATAACAACCAACTCTGGCTACTATCTCAGAACATGTCTAAAGCATATAATTCAGTTCATATACTACTATTCAAAATAGTATTACAAAGAATAAAAATACCTATAGCAATAATACAACTTATTATCAAAATATTTACAAACAGAACTAACTACATAATTACAACTTTTGAAAACATAAAAGATTATACAATACATGACAGAATAGATCAAGATGAAACAATCACTCCATTATTATGGAGGATCTACTATGACCCTTTAATAACAAAAATTGCAACAAGCCATACTGGATATACACTTAAAACCTATACTGATATACAAAAACCAAACCAGTCTGTAATTAAAAAGAGCTTTTCAGTATTTTATACATGGACAACACATTATAGATTGCTTCAACAAAAGAACAGCTACAAGCAATAGTTGATACTGCAACAACTTTCTTTTAGCTAACAAATATACAAGTTAATCTAAATAAATCCATACTAGCAACAATAACAAAAATTACAAGTCTAGAAATACAATTTGACAACACAATTATTAAATCAATCGACACAAAAACAAGTTTTTGCTTTCTTGAATGTTGATATACAACAAGTAAAAAACATACATCAAATCAAAAAATAATAAAAGAAGAAGCAGCAAGCACATTAAAAAGATTGCAATGAACTCAGATTACTGACAAGCAAGCAATATATATAGTAAATACAGTAATCCTCACAAGAATCATATATTGAATACAAAATACAATTCTGCCAACAACAACTTGTAAACAAATAACAAACAAGTACATGAATATTATAAAACACAAAGCTGGATTAGTATCACTATAGACTATATGAACTTAGAACAATAGAAAATATACAAACTCAACAACATATTTCAGTAATAAGTTATCTACTTAACCATCCTTTATTTAGCATATCATCATTTAAAATATGACTACAACAGCTACAGAATGCAGCTGCAACAAACAAATCAATCCTTTCACTATACTTAAACATCTTTCCAACAACAGAAGCATATATAACAATAGCAAAAATGATAAACATCTGCCATATAAACAATATCGCATTTAATAATCAAGCCAACTCATAGCCAAAACTATTAACAACAATAGGCACATCAATCAACATTATTTTAAACAACATGTTAATGGCATGCAAGATTAAAAATATACTAGATAAAATAAATCTGCACTACATAGAACAACTAGTACAAAGGAATCAAACCTTAACTTGAACATGACATGTCTTGGCATATACGATTCAAAAAAATACCTAGAGGCAGACAACCAAAATGGTTTAACAAACTAATATTAACAACAAAAAACTGGCTTCAACACAACAGTACAATACTTATTCAATCAAACCCATTTATTAGACAAAACACTATATCTGAAAAGAAGAAGTAGATAATATATGAATATAACACAATTGGAAAAATAACAAGTATAAACAAAAAACATATAAACATTCAACATTGAGTTTAAAATAACTCAGACCAACTAAACGATGCCTAGGCTGCAATCACTCTGACAAAAAATTAAAAAACAAGAAATGCAAAATAAAAATACAACAACTTGCAAGGATACTTAGAATACAAATTGACTATAAAAAGCAACTAAAAAGCTTAAAAACAGACATAATATATACAAATGAAGAGCATAGAAAAAACAAATACAAAATACCAAAATCAATTCAATTAAATACTAACACTCTTAGGGCACACTACAACAATATTAATAAAGCAATACCAAACCCAAAAGCAAAACAAAGAATATGGAACCTGCACAAACAAATAAACAGTCTACATCTAAAAAACTTTGAAGTTGCACTAAGTATACAAACAGAAGATATCAATAGCATATCAACAACAACTCATATTAGTGGATAATAAGCAATAAAATACAGTTATATCACACAACTAACAATTGGCCATCAAACCAAAAAACATTATGCAATGCAATATCATGCATGATTTTAGCACTACTACAATGTACTAATATAAATATATAATGCAACTACAAATTCACAATACACATAATACAATTAGTAAAAGATACCCCCAAGCTACAATATAACACAACTACTTAGAACAAATAATGGCAACAGATAGTTAACACTAAAAGCACTGGCAGCAAAAAAAAATATAACATGATCAATACAATACAACCAATATATAGATAAACCCACAATGAGTACAGACCTGTACCAAACTGATATTATATACACAAATATAAAAAATGATATATTTACAATAAGCTAAAAAGAAAAAACAATTGAGTATACTCCAAGACATTTTATATAACATGTTCAAAATGCACAACAAACAGCAATATAGCATTCACAAAATCAAAATACCAAATAGAATCAAATACAGGAAAATATAAATTAGAACAACTTTTATAACTTTATAAACTATAATAAAAGACCAACAGCATGAAGCACAAATTCCAAACATTCACAGATCAAATTATTTAAACTAAAACTTATTCTAGATGAACTTCCTATACAAGTAAACTTATACAAATGGCATTCTAAAGAACACATAACACAAGACTGTTACAGATATAATAACAAAGATAAAACAAACATTCACTGGCTTACTTGTTACAAAAACAAAGTAAGCCTGCAAACAATAATTAAAAATACAGCAACAAAAGCATTACAAAAATACAAGGCATTCACTGAACCCAATCTACAATTGCTAACAAACATACTCAAACCAATAACAAATAATGCATTTGACCTGAATTCAACAATACTAGCAATAACTGACCAAAACACAATAAATCAAGTCAATAAACTAGTAACAGATTACAAAGGAAAACACAATTTTACATGCTATATATTGCACAAAATTGCAAACAACATATACAAAAAGCTATGGATACCATGATATAAAGAAGTAGCAGAAGCTACTCAAGGCAAAAAAGGCAAAAAGAATAAAGAAAACAAATTGAAAAAAAAGAAAGCGATGAACAAATTCAAGAACAACTAGACAATACAACAGTAAAAAACCAAAAAATAGTAACTAATCAAGCAATAAACAAAATCAATAAATGGGTTCTACTATTTCAAAAACACAATATTTCTCTAGCTGTTATTAACAATATTATAGACTAAGTGAAGTTTTTGACTCTGCTTAGCAAAATATGGGTCATAGATAAAGCAGCCTAAGTTTTAGTTTCATTAAAAGTAATATATTACTATATATAATTATCAATGTACTACATATGTTAAAATTCAATAAAGAAATTGAGACAAGACCTTGTTTTTTTTTTTAAAAAAAAAAAAAAATATTAAAATTTTTAGTTTATCTATATAAAACTTTTTATTTTACTAAGATAATCTATTTTTGACTTTTAAGTAAACTTGTTCAATATAAAATTTATACTATTAGTTTTTAGCATCAATTTTTATAAACCTTTTACTAAATAATAATTTTGATTAAAAAAATTAAAATTTAAAAAATTTTTTTAAATTTTTTTTTTTAAATTTAATCAATTTTTTTACTTAGTAAAAAGTTTATAAAAATTGATACTAAAGACTAATAGTATAAATTTTATGTTGAACAAGTTTACTTAAAAACAAAAATAGATTATCTTAGTAAAATAAAAAGTTTTATATAGATAAACTAAAAATTTTAATATTAGTATATAAGAAACTTATTTTTTTACTAAGATAATCTATTTTTGTTTTCTAAGTAAACTTGTTTAAACCAAAATTTTACATATAATTGTAATTTTAAAAATATTAAAATTTTCTTTTTAGTAAAGTTATACAAGAAAATATACAATTTTTATAAAATTTTAAAAAAGTATAAAAAGATTTTTATTTTTCTTTTTTCAATAAAATTACATAGTCACATTGGTAACAACCAACTATAACTTATTTCAATTCTATTACTCTATTATTATATGTAACATTAGGATTATCAACTTAGCAATACTAAAGTTCAAAAGCTATGAAAAACAAAAAGCATGTTTTGCTAAAAACTACTAATATATCAAAGTAATTATTTTTTAGATCGAACATATATAAACTTTTAATTACCCAATTGCTAAAATATCATAGGACTTTAACAGAACTATTTTTATCTCATGCATATACAAATATTTTTTTAAAATATAACAAATGCTGTAATGCATATATACTAAAATCAAAGTTAAGCTTAAATCTGATAAACTCTTAAAGTAAAATCTTTATATTTCAAATAAATATGACGAATCTCATAAGCCTATGCATATGTTAAGTTTAAGTATAATAAACTTTTAAAGTAATGAATACTAAGATTTTAAATATAAAAACCTTTAAGTAATGTATACTAAAAGTTTTGATATGAAAACCTTTTATAAGAGTTTAAGTATAACAAACCTTTTAATTAATGTATATTGAGTTTAGAGCAAAGTTTAAATATAATTAATAAATATGCATTTAAACATAATTAATATAAAATTTTGGAACCTGGTTTGTTTTTATACAAATAATTGCAACATATATTGTTTAATAATAGACTTTTTATCATATTCAAATCTTAATACAGTCTTTGATAATATGTTTAATATTATTGAACTTAACAATAATACAAATGAACCTTATTTTATGATTATCATAATGCTAATATTAACACAAGCATAAGTGTTGATTTTGACAATAGTCTTGATTTTAATTTTAATTTTGCTGTTAATAATGTATTTTAAAAAACATTTTCACTTAGAAATAATTCAATATCATTAATTGAAATTGAAAAAACTTTTATTAATTGGTGTGATATTGTGCAATACATTAACACCTATGCTATATCACAAAATTTTACAACAAGATTGGACTATACAAAAAAAAGTATGGGCATTATTATCAGAGTGGACATTGTTTGTCACTGTGCTGATGTTGCAAAAAAAAACAAGTACTGGGTTAAGAACTACAAAAAGTGTTGCTGCTAGTTGTTTATGCAAAATAGTAGTTTATTGGATTAAATATGAATATCATATGAGATCTGCTCATATTAAACACAACCATTCTATGGATATCATTGTAATTTCATTTGACTCTAAATACTGCAAATTAAGTCATAGTAAAAAAAATCAAATGAGAATATTATATGATAGTGGTGTACTAGTTTTAACAATTATTAAAATGTTAAGTGAACAATATAGCAGATATATTCACAACAAGGATGTCTACAATTCTTTAAATCACTATTTATATAACTATATAAAAGGCTTGTTACAAATATCAGAACTTTTAACTCATTTATATAACAATAGTAAATCTGTAATTACATATTTAATTAATAATAATAGGCTTCACTGTTTGTTTTTTGCTACTCAATCTGCACTTACAACATTTAAATGTTATCCGGAGGTCATGTTAATAGATACTACTTATAAAACTAACCATTTTGGTATGCCACTTTTATTTATTAGTAGGGTCAATGCAATAGGAATTACATTTCTTATAGCAAGTAGGCTTCTTGCTGATAAGACTACACTAACTTTTTACTAAATACTTTGTCAACTAAAAAAAGCAGTTGGTAATAATGTTATTAATAAGATACAAACAATTTTAATGAATAGAGATTCTGCCATACTTCCTGCAATTAGAACTGAACTTCTACATGTTAAGCATCAAATTTGTATTTGGCACATTGAACAAAATATTGTTAAGAATTTAACTAGCAAGCTTAATAATAAATTTGTAGTATTTAGTAAAGCTTTTAAATTAGTAATAACAGAAACTATTAAAGATCAATTTACTATTCATTGAAATCATTTGTTAAAAGAGTATTCTGAGGTTAATAGTTACATAGAACAATAGAAGTCTATTTCTCATATGTAGATATACTGTTATATTAATAAAAATGTTAACTATAGCATTAGAACAATACAATACTCAGAAGCTAGTAATGCATATTTAAAGCATCTGCTCAGTCATACAGTACCTTTATCAGAATTAATTAATATGTTGAAGAAGTTATTTTATAATCAACTTAAATGGTTCCAATATCAACAATATCATTTACATGAAAGCACTTATTAACAATACCCAAAATTATTAAAAAATGTTTTAATAGAGATATTAGATTTTTTATAATTATTGTTACTTGTTTAATGCAATAGAGCTATACTTTATAGTATTGAGGAACAAGATGTTAGTTTATTTAAAGTTTTTATTGAAAATTATGACTATACAGTATATCATACTAATATAGAATTAGTATATCATTATGGTTATAATATACAATTTGCTTTACTATGCCATCATATTATTGCTATCCATCTTACTCATAAAGAACCCCTAGAAGTTAATTATATTGGTACTCATTGGATTATTCTAATAATTGACACAAATAATATAACACAATCTGAAGAGTCTTATAATGTTATTAACAATAAAAATTCTTCAACTATTGTATTGTTTTCTTTAAACAATAATGCTTATAAAATTCTAATCAGCAAACAATCAATATTTAAAAGCACAGTTGATTTAATTAAGAAAATTGAAGTGATTGCTAATAGAGTTGGCCATGTTGAAATTAACAATAGTCTTTCTCTTTTTATAAATAAGTTGAATAACCAATATCCTTTACAACAAGTCAATATTGGTGATTCTAAAAATGTTAAAACAAAAGGAAGATCTAGTAATACAAAGTACAAAAAAATAGGTGCTGAACATTTTACCAAAAAAACATATGTATATAGTATTTGTAATGGCACAGGATATAACTCCAGAAGTTGTACTTGCAAGGTAAGTAACTTTAATATAATTCATTGCTATTATTAACTATATAGCTGTATATATTAACTAGACATATATTATATAGTAATAATCTAAATACAACTTATAATAATATACTTCTAAGCAATCATTATAGTAATAGAATTTTTTTCAAATATTAAGCATGATAAATTTTTTTATAATTGTAATAATAGTGGAACATAATCTTAGCTTTAATCAAACAAATTAGCTTTAGAATTTTAGATTAAGATTCACATAATGATAATATAATCTTAACCTTTTTTTTTAAAAAAAAAAAATTTTGAATTAAAAAATTATTGATTAGATTAGTTGTGATCATGTAATAAGTTTCTATATAACAGTTCTTCTCAATTACAATGTAACTTTTATATTCAATTATGTTTATAATTTGTTTTTATATACATATATACAATATTATGTTTTAGCATGTACAGCATATAAGTATGTACTTTGATTATACTACATGTAGTAGTATTAGTTGATCTCAAAGAACAAACTTTATTTGATAATAATAAACTTAAATTAGTATATGAAACTAAGCACAAAAAATCTATATTAAATCAACTATCAATTTTAGACTAAGTGACAATCATTATAGTTGCACTATTTATTTTTAGTACCTAAAATGGCTTGAACAAAACAAAAGTAAAGTACTTATTAAAAATGATTAAAGTATATTCAAATTACTCTATATATTGATATTGATATAAATCTAGTTACATAATTTTATTGGCATAATTTAATTGGTCATTGTGCAGCTTTTGTTATGTAACCAATGCCACAGTGGCTTAGAGGTAACTTTCATCTAGGTAAAAATAAAAATTCTCTATTTTTAAAATAAAAATTTAGATTAAGTCATATATAAAATTTTTAAAATTTTATATATTTTGTTTGTTTAATATTATTATAAAAAAATATTTTTTAATTATAAAATTATAATTATATGTAAATTTTGATTTTGAACAATTTTATATAAAAGACAAAACTAGATTATCTTAGTAAAAAATAAGTTTACTATATAATAAGTATAAAATTTATAGTTTTTCTATATAAAACTTTTTTTTTTACTAAGAAAATCTATTTTTGTCTTTTAACTAAACTTGTTTAGAATAACATTTATATTAGATTAGTAGAAAAAATTTTAAGCAAAATTGTGTGACAAATTGTATGACTAATATGCTTCTTGAAAGTTAATTATATATTGTAAAAAATTTATATTAAATATATTAAATATTAATAATATTTTGTTAGGTAAAAATAGATTTATAATACTAGCTTGTAATTATGTTTCAAGTTGTACTAAATAGCTTGATACAAAAGATGTTATTAATTTGGTTTAAATTTTAAAAATTCTAAAATATTATATAAACTAAATATAAATTAAAAGATTAGTATTATAGATTATATTGGATACAAATTGCTAACTCTTATTGATAATTAATTATACCAAAATTCTGCTAAAGAAAATTTTAATTTTCTTTAACAATTTATAATTAAATACACTCTTAAAACTAAATAAATTGATCTTCTTTCAAATTTACATATATTTGTAAAATTTTATATCAATAACTTAAATATTAAATAAATTAACTAATTTCTTATAAAAACAATCTCAAACTAATTATACTCAAAGTAATTATACTCAAATTTAGTCTAAAAAATTTGTCTTGCTTACTAAGACAAAGTTGTCTAGCTCACTTCAGGCTTCATTTTGATATAAGTTTTATTCAAAACAGTCAAAAATTGACTATTTTATAAGCAAAAAACTCTAAATAGCTATTTTCTCTAAATTTTTCTAAAAAATTAGTTCTTTTCTTTTTATCCTCTCCAAATTCAGACCTCAAACACATTTTAAAACACCTAATTTTATTGGTTCAATCAATTAACAATCATTTTATAATATTTTTTTTTTAAGTTTTTAATTAATTTACATAAAACAAATAATTACAAATTTGTATTTATTCTAAAAATACACAATCTTGTATATACTTTATTCTATTTTTAGCAAAACTTACACAAGCCACATACTGCATCACAAGCTACACTAGCCTTAGCCACACTAGCTCCAGTTACACTAGCCACAAAAAATTATTACAGAGAGTATAATATCATATAAACAAAATTTTACTTTCTTTTAAAACTATTATTGAGTTCTTTAATATTAATATAAAAATAACAAGCCAAAATGCCTATTTTAATAACTACTAAACCTGATTCTCATAACTTAGATTATTATTACAACAAATATTCAGATCAATTTGGTATTGATACCAAAGAATCTGATTTACTTACTTTACATATTTTGTCAAAAGATGTTAATTTTTCTAAATATGAAACTAATAAACAACAATATTACTTTAAAATGCCAACTCAACCTACTTTATTTACTTGTCTTTGTGACAAATTTCATATAAATTTTATTTTTAAACATTATAAAATTACTTACTTAATACCTTCATAACAAATCTCAAACTCTATGTAATAGATATTTCTCTAACTACAGTTATTTCTAAAAACTGCTTTAATAATATTATTAATCAACTACCTAAATTATCTATTACAAATAGCAACAAATTTTTAATCAAACTCACAAATTTCATCTTTTTCATTTTATACAGACAAATCACCAGTAGCAATTATTTTATACTTACAACACTATCACTTTTGCATCTTATACAAAAAAAATAATATTCTATATATTCTTATTTAAGAATCATGACATACACCTAACTATTATAAAGTTATAATCTTTAAGAGTTTCTTATTTCACTGAGATTGTGTTCACAATTTCCAATATACTAAACTTAAAATTCTTTCTCAAAAAAAGGAATTTACAAAAGAACAATACTCTATCTTTTATTTTTACTACTTCTACAAACTTACTAAGAAAAAAAAACCAAATTTCTTCAAAAACTTGCTCTTAGAGGCAAAGAAATAAAATAAAATTCTAAACATTCTTCTAAATGACAACAAAAAAAAAATACAACAAACCCAACTTGAGATACTTCTAAAGATCTGAACTGGTTTCTTAACTATCCAATTATAGAAAATATGAAACAAAATACCAAACTCAATACAACACTTGCTTAGTAACTTTTCATCTTCTTCAAAGCTCATCTTTACAAATTTATTCCTGGTCAACTAATTCCTTCTACTTTAAATAATACTTAAATACTACAAACCAAAAATTCTCTTAAAAACAAGGTTTTAATTATTTGCTTAAAACAATAGCTGCTAAAAAGCCAAAATTCCTTACAGATTTCTTTTGTCAATCAAATCTATTACTTTCTTCTTAACTTAATATTTCACAATATGCATATACTTCAATACTTAAAAATTTACTTATTAAATTTATTGAATTTCTTTTTATCAAACTAAATTACTTACATATTTTTTATTCTCATTACTCAATTTCATTACATCCAATCTCTGATCATTACAAAGTGACAATTAACTTTGTCTATCTATACTTATTTCTTTATAACAAATATCAAACAATTTACTATCAAAAATTTATTGATAAACTAGAGCTTTATTCTCTTAAACTATCAATAAAATACAACTTCAAATATGATGCTTCAAAACCTCTATTTATTATCTATAATAACAACTAGTTTACTATTACTATTACTCTTAATATTTTTAAAACTAAATTTTTTAATTCCTTTTGAATTCTATTACTTAAACCTCATATCCAAAACTTCAATACATAGTATTTAGACTTTTTTAAAGCTTATCAAAAACAATTTACAAAAATTAATAAAGACAAAGTCAAAAACTATATTAAATACCAAATTGCAACTACACTTGCTGAGAAATGCAAAAAACTTCTACCCTCAGATTTTCAAATTACAAAACTAACATTTCTCCAAAATTACTTATTCTTAATCACTAAAGCTGCACTTTTTTATGTTCATATATGCAAAAACAAAGACTGCAAACTTCTATCTGATAACAGAACATATTTTTAAAAATATATTAACTTACTTTTTTGACAAATCTTTTGAAACCTTTTAAAAGACAACTTAACTTCTAAAACTACACTATTCACTTCAAATTACACAATCTTCTAACCAAACCAATAATATATAGCAACTTTCAAAAAGACTATTCTACTCCATACATTTAATGAACTTGCAATTAAAGCAGACTAAAAGTTTGCTGAAATTAACAACTCAAAAACAAATCCTAAATGAACTACATTTTATTTTTATTCTTATTTCAAAGCTTATTTAAATACTGCAGCTAAAAATAACAATATATTAAACCTCAAACTAAACAAAGCTTTAGAGAAAATTATTATATCTACTATTAGTTCACATATTCTAGTATGAATAATTCTCTATTTTCATATCCAAAGTCAACCAAAATTCTCTATCTTACAAATTCAATTTGACTATGATTTAAAATACTTTCTAGAAGCAGAAAAATTTATTATGATATTAAAATTTCTTCAATACAAGATGACACTTTATTCATGTCTTCAACTACTACCTATAGTTCACTTTTTTAATAAATTCTTTTATAGATAACATAAATACAGCTAGCACTTCCAAAATAATAATGTTTTTTACTAAAAGTATGCTATTTTTGAAAGAGAATGATATAAGTAGATAGGCAGAAAAGCCTATTTATATGAAGAACCAGGTTAATAATAGTCAGACCCAATGTACAAAGCAGACTATAATATTCTCTGCAACTATGTAAACTGAGTATACAGTGAGTGCATCTATAAAAGGAATCTCTAACTTCTCAGATACCAATACATCATATCCTTCTAAGATCTTTATCAGAAATAATATATTATCTACAACATTTACACATTCCTATATATTAATTATGTTTATTAGCATTCTATCCTCTATTCAACAATTTACAAATCTAAATATTACTAATAACAACTATGAATTATTATCAGATAATAACTCTATTGACTCATTAACAATAAACACTATTAAAGAGAAAACTCTAATCTATACTTCTAACCTACTC